CGACTCGCTGTTCAGATATTTGAGAGAGTTTCCCGAGCACGCGGATTTTGTGCGCGGGTACGTGTCGACGTCGGACGATGGATCTGTATCCACAGTTGGCGACCTGTTCAACACCTTGAACGAGCTGTACCTGCTCTTCAAGGACGCTGATTTGTCGGACAGAGAAATAAATAGAGTGTTGCACATATTCAACCACCCGGGATACGATCCTGCAGCGGTTCGGCGCTGGCAGAACGTCGCCGACGTCAGGCGGTTTGGGGAGGAACACGCGCCGGACGACATGGTGCCGTGGCTCAAGGCAGAGATTGAGGTGCGGGGCCCCTGAGGAAGGTGTCAGATGCTGGAACTGCTGTACAAGGACACCAAGCTGGTGAGCGATCGATGGTTGGTGCTGCACGGAGTCGGCGAGTGTATGTCTGTTTATGCACTAGCTATACACAGGCTTCACGCGCCTCCTTGTGGACAGATTGCGCAGAAGATGGTGAAGACATTCGTGAATGTTAGGGGATTTGTCAAACGACCGCGGCGAGATCCAGAAGATACGGCTGAAACAAGACATTTCAGTACCCCCGACACAGGGACTTGGCTGGAAGAGGCGCAGGCAAGTAGAGGCAAATGTTCCCAAGCGTCACATTGGACTCTGATGTGAGTTAGTCCGACTCTGTTGGTCGCCTTGTGTCGTTGTCAGGCGGAACTGCCGGAGGAGGATTCTATGGTGCTGGGTGTCATCTCGTACAGCGACAGCACTTACGCGGAACGGACGCCTACAGGCATGGCCAATGTTGATGGGTTTGGTCAATGTCCCGGAGGAGTTACGGTGGCGTGAGCCTAAGCATGCGCTAGTGGGTGTGCTCCCTTTTCCGCCGGAGTGGGCATCGGCGACGGAGAAGACGCGGGTGTATCAAGAGGCGTATCGCATCGTGATGGGTCCGCTCATGCGTGAGAACCGCGAGTAAGTGGTCCGAATGCATGCTCTAGGCCTGTTCGAGGCGAACGGGGTCATTGTCGGTTTCTGAGACCCATCAAACGTGTACGTGGTGCATGCAGTGGTCCTCTTCGAAGCTTCGATGTGTCAGACGGCCGGGGAGGTGTCGTCAAGGCATATCCATGCCTCTATGCATTTGTTGGCGACTATCCGGAAGGGTGCCGTGCCACAGCAACGATGCAGCAGGCATCGCACAGACCATGCTCGAGCTGCTACATCAAGAAAGGGCACCTTCATGACCTGTCAAACAAGTCAATAGTGCGCACTGTGAAGGGAGAGCGGCACGCGGCGGCAAAGATACTGAGCGCTACGACGGTGGAAGGCGCTGCAGCGATCCAGGCCAGGTGGTCTACGCATCCGATCACGGTGCGCGCTCGATGTTTGTGTGTGGCAAGTCACATGGCCGCGGCCATGATTGTAGCGGCTTGATGTTGCTTTTTATGATGAGTCTGACAGCACCATCCAATGTGCAGAGCGTCCTGGAGCGCTGGAACTTCTCTGAGACGAAGTGGGGTAACGTCTTCCTGGCGGTTGTTGGCGACATATTGCATGTGCTGGATTCTGGGGTGCTGGTGCATATGGCCACTTGTTTCATGGAGGGGAAGTCGAAGGCCGAGATTCGGGGGTTTGATCAGTGAGTACACAGAGATTCTGTGAACTGTTTTGTATGCGGTAGTGCGTACGTGGCGGAGATCACCACGGGAACAATCCAATTTCGTTGCTTGTGTGTGATTGGTGCGTGGAACAGCCGCAAGTTTGGCGTGAAGGGCGAGACAAGGAGTGTCTTGGTGCGCATCCCGGGTGGCTCCACCTTTTTCCGCAGCGGGGCAAATTACGCGGCGTTCGAGTATCGTGGCATGATGCAGGTTTTCCCTATTGTCATTTCCGACCTGTGTGTGGGGCGCTCTGTGGAGGAAAGGGACCAGAGGGATAAGGAGGTTCGTGCCTTCCGCTACTATGCGGTCTTCTACAAGTCCCTGCTGGCTGTGACAAAGCACACGCGGCTCACAATCGCCATCGCGAGGCAGCATGGCATCTCGTGAGTGAACACGATGGCCACTTGTTTCGTTGCTACCATAGGCTATGTTGTACAGTGTGGTGATTCTTCCAATGGTCGCACTACAATGTGCATACAACTTTGTGTAGACTGGTGGCTGCACTGCAGGCGGCTTTCCCGAGGCAGAAGTCGAAGTGGAACTTCGTGAAGCTACACGAAGTTGTACACCTCATCAACGGCATATCCATGAGGGGTTTGCCGCACGAGTATTCCACGGAGCTGTGGGAGCATACCCACAAGGGCACCGTGAAGAGCCTCGTGCGCTGAAGCAACTGGAAAGACATACCAAGGAGGATTGTCGAGGAGGAGACGCAACGCGAGATCACAAGGGAGATTGCGGCGCTGTCAGGAGGAGGGAAAACTTACTACACCGCCCTGCGAGAGGTACACAACGCGTGGCCGTGTAGTGTTGGTGGCATTTGTTAAAGGCACGCAGGTGTGCGAGGTGATAAGGGTGTAATGACTCCACCGGTTCATCCCATGCGTGCTCACAACCCACCTCTCAGGCTGTGAGAAGCATGAAGCCCGCGCTGACCCGCACAAGCAAGGCCATGTGTCTCATGACGGCTGACGATCCACTGCGGATGCTGTACAGGGAGACGGTGGGCACCGAGTTTGACAACATGGCGACACTCATGGCCGCGGAAGGCCTTCAGACTTCACATATGTTGGTGAGATGCTGTGTCATGTTAGTAACCCGGTAATCAAGCTGATGGCTTCGGTTGTAAAGAGGTTGGGCTGTTGTGTGTTGGACACGTACGTGAAGAGGCGTCATCGTACAATGTGTTAGTCCTCATGCTAGCCCACCCATACCCGGCAGGTGCACACCGCAGTGGCCATCCCTAGCACGAAAGGGGGCTACTTGGTTCCAAAGGCGATGTTCGTGAAAACAAGCCCGAAGGAGAACTGGTTCACCGACATTGCAATACCGGGAGAGAGGGAGGAGGAGGAGGAGGAGTGGTGGTATGCGCGGTGTCTCTGTATTTTCAGGGCGGTGAACTACAGCGGAGAGGAAGGTGCATATGTATTCGTGAAGTATTACGAGGAAGAGGGGGTGTGTCCCCAGACACTTTGCCCCCAACTGGTGCCGGGGCGGAAGGAGGCCACGCACGGGATCATTGAAGTTGCATCGATCGAGCGCATTGTCCATGTGTGCAAGTCCTTTACTAATCCTAGAGTCAGGCTACTCAATAGGTTTGCACTCATCGACTGATGGATTTTAACGCATTGCGACATGAATAACAATATGGCCCTAAGTGTCGCCCCAAACATGGAGTCATAATGTTGTTTTGATTACGGAAGTGGGATATGGCCGGGATCACTGGTGAACTTGATACATTGAAGTCACAATTGTAACTGCAAAGTAGCATTGGCGACACTTCAGTGTCGTTGCTGCAATGTCACTTTGGCCACTCAGGTGCAATTGTGCGCACCGATGTTTTTCCGAAGCTTTTCCGAAGATTTCCCGCAGGAAAAGCTACCGTGTACATTTTGTGCAAACTCGGAATTTCGCGATGGTGGTGCTTGTACAGGTGTGTAAATGTGTGTGTTACTCACATGTAGATGTTCAGCTTCATGTAGACGACGCCGCGATGGTCGCCGACGGCGTTCTTTGCGGCTTGAGAGTCGTTCTTGGGAACCTCGTTCGCTCCCAGCAGCTTGGCTGAAAAGGTGTCTGTGAATGCGAGGGCGAGCGGGGGAGCGATGATAAAGAGGGTGAGAGTGAGTAGATGAGGAGGTGCGAAGAGATTAGAACAACTCGTTGATGCTGAAGGGATGACATTATCATTAGAATGACATGATGACACATGATGACTCAGAGTCCTGGCGATCGAGCAAGAAATGTGGGGAGGAAGGGAGCGAGGGATCTCACCAATATGCTCGTGACTGCAGTGTGCGATATCGAGCATCGCCGCGAGGAAAGCTGCACAGAACCACACACGAGACGAAACCGAGTTAAAAGTTTAGATGGCGACGTTGATAGCTTCATGGTGAAGAAACTTTTTAGGCGTTCCGAAAAATATTGTCGTTCGCGCATAGTAGTACCTAAGAGTAAGGCGCGAGTCGGAGTGAAAGCCATGATGCCGGCGACAGAAATTCGTCGCTGCGATTATCAGACGGCGGTGGATGAGATTAATGCTGGAAGTCTGAGAAGCAGATGAATGGACGGCGGACGGCCACAGAATAAATTGATTGTTGAGTGAAGATGCACATGAATATATAGTCCATCCGTAAGTCTTGGATGGAGGGACCTAGAGAACGCGCCGCGGCAAGTTCAAGACAGCTCTTGAGAATTGCCTGCCGAAGACGCAAAGTTTAGTCTCACGCGGCGCCATCTGACTCTAACCCTGATGCACCTCATATAACTGCGCCACTTCTTTCGGTAAGTTGCTCGGCTCGGCTCGGCTCGGGCAAGGAATGCTTGGAGAATAATTGCTCAGCGGAGCCTTCTTGCGGTAATGGCGGAGGAAGGGGAGCTTCTGGCTGCTTGCGTAGGAAATCTGGGAAGTCAGTCTGAAGCGGGGAAACCACTGCTGCCAAATGTCTCCACGACGGGCAATAACCGTCGTGACGCTGCTTGACAGGATGGTCAAGAAACATTGCGTCCCATAAAAACCGACGTCACCGTTCTATATCTCTATGAAACCGTTTTAAATCAGATTGCAACTCGTGGGATCGCACTGAAGTCCCATATGGCCTGTGCTGATAAAATGGGATTACCGAAAATTGCTCACCGTCCAATAATGGTGCGACTCGAGATGTTTAGCTGGATCTGATAAACAACATAAAACAATGAACATATGGCGTGTGTAGTTAGAGACATATTACATAGAAGGAACTATCTACAACTCCACAAAATTCTTTAGAGAGATTAGGAATCCTAAACAGCTCGCTCACTTGTGCGGCACCACCACTGCCAATGCCTCCCTTGCTTTCACCACAACCAATGCCCTCAACTCAAGCAGCTCTGGATGAAAGAAGCTGGCTTCTCAGCCACTCGTTCCCCTCTGCATCCCCCTCCAAAGCCTTCACCTGCGCGGCTACAGCCCTCAGTGCCTCCTCTGCAGTCATTTTGTCGAGAGGCAGCGATGCGAACTCCCGAAGGAATTGCCGTGCTCGCCCCACTCCCTCCCTCTGCTCCTCCCCTCCATCCCTCTTACGCTTATCCCCACCAGCACCACCAGCAGCAGCAGCACCAGCACCAGCAGCCGCACCAACGCCAGCATCAGCACCATGAGCAGCAGCACCATGAGCAGCAGGAGGGGCAAAGTCTTCGAGCTCCTGTGCCTTGGCTCGTGCCATGGCCACCACTTCGGGAGGGAAGTGTGCAAACTCTGCCACGTGGATGCCAAAGCTCTGATCACACGGGCCTGGTTGCACCTGGGGGAGGTGGAACCAGTGACAATAGAAAATCTTTGATATAATGAGGGGAAAACTCTGTGTAGAGGGAAGGAAGCCCTGCTAGGGGAGGAAATTGTCCTATTCTGTCACATGAAAGCCCAAGTTCTGGTGACGCGGGGAAGGCTGCACCTGGTAAAGAGCTGGAGTTATTACAGCACCAAACTTTTATAACATGAAATTAATATAGCAAGAGAACTAGGAACGATTGATCCCATAATGACCCTAAGAAAGACACTTTATCACAAAAAGGCACGGAAGGAAGGACAACGAGAAAGGACCAGCAGCGGGAGGAAGGAGCCCAATGCGATACCTTGTAAAGCATGGTGAGCTTCCTGGAAGCTTCATCAATGTGCGCGCTGACGTGGAAGTTGGCAACACCACAGGAAGCATCTCGGGTTTCGAGAGCCGTGAGCTCGTGAAAGTGCGTGGCGAAGAGTGTGGGCGCTCTAGTCTCATCCACTAGATGCTCACAGATAGCCCACGCGAGACCTGAAAAAAGGGGTGGTGAGTGAGAGTAAGGCAAGAGGGCCGTGAGCTCGTGAAAGTGCGTGGCGAAGACAGTGGGCGCTTTAGTCACATCCACTAGATGCTCACAGATAGCCCACGCGAGACCTGAAAAAAGGGGTGGTGAGTGAGAGTAAGGCAAGAGGGCCGTGAGCTCGTGAAAGTGCGTGGGGAAGACAGTGGGCGCTTTAGTCACATCCACTAGATTCTCACAGATAGCCCACGCGAGACCTGAAAAAAGGGGTGGTGAGTGAGAGTAAGGCAAGAGGGCCGTGAGCTCGTGAAAGTGCGTGGCGAAGACAGTGGGCGCTTTAGTCACATCCACTAGATGCTCACAGATAGCCCACGCGTGGCCTGGTGGGAGGGGTATATACGAAGGGGAAAGGGGGGTGAGGCGAGAAAGGAAGGCACCAGTGTGTCTACCCTTGTGAAAGTGTGTGGCAAAGAGGGTAATTGCTCTAGTCACGTCCGCGAGATAATCACAGATGGCCCATGCAAGAGCAAAGGCAAAGCCGGAGTGACCGGCACGTGCTGAGGCCGTCACTGGTGGAAGTTCTACGCCCTAGCACGTGCCAACTTGCTCTGGCTGATGTTCTACGCTCATCAGTGGTAACCAGCGAGTGCAACGTCCCGGCTGTCTCCATCGAGCCCGGAGAAAACGCATGCCACGCACTTTCACGAGCATCTCGTGAGCTCGTGAAAGTGCGTACCGAATCCATCGTAAGCCGTTTTTTAGAAATCTCAAAAACACTATCCATCGTAAGCGGACGTTCCCCGCCTGCCCCAGCTCGTCAATAATGACCATTGAGTGTGGTGAGACGGTGTGGACACTCCCAAAGTCAGAACGTACTTAAGCCGGCACTCACCAAAGCCATCGTACGTCGACGTTCCCCTTCCCAGCTCGTCAATGATCACCAGCGAGTGCGGCGTGGCGGCATGCAGGATGGCGGCTGTCTCGAGCATCTCCGCCATGAAGGTGCTCACTCCCCTCAGCTGGAGGCGACAAGGCAGGGCACGTAGAGGAACGAGGAGGTCAGAAGTATGAGCAAGTTGGGGGGTTGAGGGATTCAAAGCAACAACTTGCAGAATGGCGGCTGTCTCGAGCATCTCCGCCATGAATGTGCTCACTCCCCTCAGCTGGCAAGAGACAAGGCAGGGAGGGAGGGGGGAGAGGGAGGTGAGAAATCTGACAGTTGTGGAATCACAAGAGGCGGCGTAGCGCTATCCGAATGGCAGCTGTTTCCAGCATCTATGAATGTGCTCATTCACTTCCCTCAGCTGAAGGAGAAAAGAGCAGGGAGAAGCAACAGGGCAGGGAGCAACACCAGGATGGGAGTTGTGGGGGGATGCAATCAAGCGCCAGCCTCCTTCCATCCAACTTACCCCTTCCCTTCCCCGTTCGAACCTCCCCCTTTCCATTCTCACCCCTCACCTGGCAATCGCCAGCGCCCACGCAGGCAAAGATGGCGTCTCGAATGCTCACGTGTGGGCTTTCCACTCGTCCCCCACATCACCTGTCAATCACCCATTCCCCACCATTTCCTCCTCACCGCCCACATCCTCCCCCATTGCATCACCCCTCCATTACATCTCCCCCCTTCCCACCTGGCAATCCCCAGCGCCCACGCGGGCAAAGATGGCGTCTCGGATGCTCACGCGCGCACGGGAGCAAGGCACCTGATACTCACACGCACCTGCCACCCACTCCCTCCCTTCCTCCCTTCAATGCACCTTCCACCCCCCTTCTCACCTGGCAATCGCCAGCGCCCACGCGGGCAAAGATGGCATCTCGTATGCTCACGTGTGCGCGGGAGCAAGGCACGAAGCACCCCACCTGTGCCATCAGCACCACCACTCCCACCTGCAGCACACACGCAGAGTAAGAGTATGGGGATGAGAGGATATGTTTTAAGTTAAGGACGTGTTGTCAGGAGTTTGGGGGTGTCCATGATACCTTTATGCAATGCACCTGGCATAAAAACATGCCTGGCAATTAAACACACCTGAAGTAAAACCAAAAAAAAAAAAAAAAAAAAAAAAACTGACGTTAGAACGTACCTGAAGTATGAAACACACCTGGCGTATAAACGTTGACTTGCCGCCCATGTTGGGCCCGGTGATGATTTGAAACCAGCTGCGACCCCTCTCCTGGTGGGGTGGGGTGGGTAGTGGGTGGGTGGAATGCAGTACATAGGGGTACCGTCGGGTACTCTCGGGTGGTGTGAGGAGATGAGTGGCAGATGGGGCAGATGGGTGCACGAGGGAAGAGATGCGTGCAGATGAGAACAGACGGGTGAACCACCACTGAGGGGAATGGGAACACACCAGGCGACAACGGTTGAGGATGAAGCTGACGTCATCTTGCACCTCCACCACACATGGGTGGGCTGATCAGCATGATAGAGGCAGCAGAGAATCACTTCTGAGAATTCTCTTTTTGAGACTTGTGAGAATTTCTCAAAGGCGCCAGAGAAGAGTTGAATTTGGAGTCGACTCAAAAGTCAACATGGGCTGATCAGCATATGATAGAGCCAGCAGAGAATCACTTTTACGAATTCTCTTTCTGAGACTTGTGACAATTTCTCAAAGGCGCCAGAGAAGAGAATCACGTGAAGGGACACGCACCAGGCGGCAGTGGTTGGGAATGAAGCTGACGTCATCCTGCACCTCCACACATGGGTGCCGGCTGTCCTCCAACACTAGATCGCCCTCCTCCTGGTGTCATGCCATGCCATGTGCCACGTATGCCATGCCATGCCATGCCATGCCATCATCCCATGCCATCCCATGCGATGCCATGCCATTTGAAGCGTCAATAGGTGGGAGGAAGGGGATAGGGAGGAGGAGGGGAGTGGACGGAAATGTGAAAAATAATGCAGCAGGACGAAAATGGGAGGCAATAAGGCATGGGAGCAACAGGTCACTCACTAGCCAGGTTGCAAATCCGCAAGGAACACACTTTGTGCTTCAAGAAATGCGATAAAAAAGTGTGAAAAACATAGATGTATCACCAGCCCGTTTTTCAAGTTCATACCGGGCCTGAGATGGAGGGTCGGACGTAGGGAGTGGGAGCCGAAGCTGCAAGCTCGGCAAAACCCTGTAGCACGTCCATTTCAGCGATCAGTGCTGCCACGCCCTCAAACACCTGCGCCAAGCAGGGAAATGAAGGCATTGAGAGGAAATGCACATGATGGTACTCAAATCGGTTGTGCTTTGAGCGAATTCCAAAGGCAAAGCACAAACTTAAACCGAAACAGCCTGAACCTGAAATATAAACCCATCTCTCACCTCCAAGATCGTTTGTGCCACTTCCACCACCTTCGCAACCAGCTCCCTCTGAGCCGCCATGTACCACATGAGTCTCCATAGACCCTTGGCCTGAAGCATGGGTTTCAACACACTAGATCTAGAACTCTAGACTCTAAAACATAAACCCTAAAGCCCCAAACCCATGTCTCACCTCCAAGAACGTCTGTGCCACTTCCACCACCTTTGCAACGAGCTCCCGCTGAGCCGCCATGTACGAATCCGTGAGCGCCACGTGGCGCTCGCTCAGCCTCCGGAGCTTCGCATTCGTGAACTTGACTCCGTCCTTCCTGGTCTCAAGAGTCACATACGACGAATTCAGCTTCTTCCTGACGTTCGTCTCCTCTTTCTTCGTTATCCTGTAGCAATACCCCGCCTGCGCCGTCTTATCTAATTTAATCGTCTTATCCACTATGAGGCCTAAATCGTTTGCTGCTTGCTGCAATGCTCTCTGCACTTCGACTTCAACCCCCTCCCTCTCCTCTTTAATCTCCCCTAGGCTTGGGTCATAACCTGGAGCTATTAAATACTCTCCGTTTGACTGCAGAGCGTCTAAGTCTACTGCTGCTTCCACCAGACCCTCGTACTTAGCTAAGTGCTCCGCCCCGCACCACTCGAGCAGGCTCGCGCCAAACCTCTCGTGCAGCATCGGGCGGAACGAGCCTCCGTGGGTTTCAAGCACCTCTCGGATGAATGGAAGGCGAATGCTGGCCTGAAATGAGGGCCGAAAACGGAAAAGGAGAAAAGGGAGGGTTGGTGGGTGGGGGAGCAAGCAGAGCAGAGGGAAAAGAAGAGGGGAGCAGGTGAGAGGGAGGGCGATAGGTGGGTTCCAATCACCTCGTTGATGAAAGGAAGACTTTTGAGTCGACTCAAAAGTCACCTCAGGACGACAGGTGGGTTCCACTCACCTCGTTGATGAAAGGAAGGCGAATGGTGGCCACGGGGGGAAAGGAGGAAGGGAGGGGTGGTTGGATCACTGAGAGCTAAGGGGGGTAAAAAATACTATGACTGTCTCATACTCGCAACAGCCACACTCGTTACGGTCACACTCGTTGCAGTCACACTCGTTACAATCTCACCTGATACAGCTTAACCCCGTCCTGCAGCCCAGCTCGTCTCATCTCCAGTCGCCTCATCAGCCTCTCTATATCCGGCATGCGTCTCAAATGCCCCCCGCACTCGCTACAGTGTCTTACTCGCTACAGTCATACTCGTTACAGACTCACACTCGTTACTAACTCACCTGGTACAGCTTAACCACGTCCTGCAGCCCAGCTCGCCGCATCTCGAGCCGCCTAGTCAGCCTTTCTATATCCGGCATGCGTCTCAGATGCCCCCGCACCTCCTGCCTCATCCCGCCACTCTCTACAAACGACTGCACCACATCCAACCGAAACTTAATCTCCTCCTCATCCACTAACGGCTGCTTCAACCACCGGTTTAGTAACCGTTTCCCCATGCCCGCAGTGCACGTGCGGTTCATCAGTCCCATTAAGGAAAAGTTTCTATTTCCGTCCGTTTTGGATTCGGTGACGTTGAGGGCGCGGAGGGCGGTCGCGTCGAGGCGCATGTGGGTGTGGAGGCTGTAAGGAAGGAGAGTGTACCGACCGTAGATACTATCGTCTGCTAACAGATCAGCATAAGCGAGTACAGCAGCCATCGCAGCCCCCGCGATTTCAGAGTCTACAGTAACCTTCTGGCCTCCTCCCCCTCGACCCCCTACTCCTGCTGCTCCCGTCATCCTCCCTCCGCTTCCCCCTCCGCCTCCGCCTGCGCCCCTTCCCCCTGCGCCGCTCGCCCCTCGTAAAAGCCTCCCCAGGTCTTGCTCCACGTCGCGCGGCTTAAACTCCGCCCGTTTCCGCTCAACTATAAGCACGTTGCACCGCGACATCACGTCTCTTAATCTTCGCGCCTCGAGCGACTTGGCCCCCTTCTTATCCGCTCCCCCGCCTCCGCCTCCCCCTCCGCTTCCCCCGCCCCCCTCCTGCGGAACCACGCACTCGCGACAGCTCAGCGCGACGAGCGCGGATTCCAGACACGTGTACTGCTCGTCGTCCAGAAAATCCGTCATTCCTAACGCGCGCTTCGTCAGATCCACGAACGCCAGCCCCACACGCCGCTCGCCGTCCTTCGCGCCGCCTACTCCGCCGCCGCCGCCGCCGCTCGTGGCGACGATCACGGCGCACACAGTCGGCGAGTCGCCCATGTCGCGCGTCGCGAACAGCACGTCCTCGAAGGCCGTCAGCCGCCCCGGCGTTGCGGCCCGCGCGAGCCGCCAGCTAGAGCCGCCGCCTTCGTATAGCTCCACAGTCGAATACCCGCCACCGCCGCCCGTGCCGGAACCGCCGCTGTTACCCCCGCCGTCTCCGCCGCCACCCTCCGCGCCTGTTCCCCCCGCTCCGCCTCCGCCTTCCTCTAGCAGCAAGTGGCGGAGGATCGACTCGAACATGCTGCGGTTGACGCTCACGCTGGGGAGTGCCGCGGAATCATTGGCGCCCGCGGAACTTCCTGCCGCGCTTGCTCCGCCCGCGGAGAGGTAGCGCACGGCGGAGAGCGTCTTGTAGAATACGCGCGCGACGAAAAGCGCTGCGAGGCCGTGCACAGTGTAGTAGTCGCGACGGTCGAAGAAGCGGATCGTGTGCGGTGCCTGGGGGACGGGGGGAAGCGGAGAGGGAAGCGGATAGGGAAGCGAAGAGCACGGCAGACATGCAGAGGGGCAATGTATGGGGCACGGGCTGAGGGGCACGGTGCAGTAGTCGCCGCGGAGGTCGAAAAGACGAAAACAAGGAAAAAAGGAGCACCAGCGTTCATGTATCATGGGTGGAAGGGAAGGGAAGAAGGACAGAAACCCCTGGGATTTCCACGAGTGTCCAACAATTTTGCGACTGAGATCTCAAACACCGAAGTTCACGTACGGGTGGAAGCGAGCGGAAGAAGGAGAGGAACCCTTGAGCTTGCCGAGCGTCTATCGAACGACAAGGGAAGGAGGGGGCAAAGGGGGAGGGGGCATGCGTTACGTGGATAAAGAAAGCAAAGATCAGGAATGTTACTGCCCTAGGTGGCATTTGAGTCGACGCAAAAGAAATAGAGAGACAAAACACTACCAGGGAGGCTATCGTACTACAAGTGTCCGTTGCTGCGGACAGGCCGGTTAATATGACGCACCGAGTTTGAGCTCTGGCAGCTTCGCCTCTCCGCCATCCATGTCCGCCATATTGGCTTGCTCGTTATCGTACGAAAAGGATACCACTGCGCGAAAAAAAGTTATTGCTGCACGAAATGGCTACCACCAGACAGCGTGATGTTGTGCGTATGACACCGTGGGACTTGGTGACCGAGAATCAAGACCGGTGCGCACAAGCCACGCGATGCAGCCGAACGAGGGACGTTAGAACACCGTGAGACTGGGTGATCAAGAATCAAGACCGAGCTACTAAATTGCGGCTTCACTCCAAACGAGTAGAGAAGCACTTAGAGAACAGCAGAGTCCGCATGTGGAATGAGAAGGAACAACACAAGCACACCAAGAAAGAATCGAGGGACGAAGAGTGACGGAGACGGGGTAAAAGGCGGGAAACATTCAAACTCTGAAATGTGAATCCCTACAAGGAGATCTCACTGTTCGTTAATATCATTCGTTTCAATCTACACTCTAATTGTCCATTTGCTCATGCATTTCATCCAAAGGTAAGAAAGGCCTATGGTAAGGAAATTCCCTTTTCCTTACTTCGCGTCCCTGCTCAACGCGTACATCACTGTAGCACCTCAGTCAGCACCGTTACCACTCGCGACCATCGCATCATTCATCATCCCGCCCTTTTCGCACATCGCATCCCGACCTCACGGCTCGGCTGGTAACCCGCGCTCCGGGCCTACGCTTCGACACTTTCCAAACCTCAGTCCCAGGCTCGTCGCGCGACCATTACCGTTACCACTATAGTTTCGCTATATAATGTTCGCTCATGCCTTCGCTCAATTGTATTCTTGCTTCGATAGTGCAATTCTCGTTCATTCACTCAATTGCACTCGTAACACTTGGTATTCAGAGCCTACGATCTCATCTCGGACCGCATCCACACCTTCGCTTCCCACTATCTCAATTTTTGGGGGGGGTAGACGTCTCTCAGCGACACAGCACCGCCGCTCGTAGTGCTCTCTCGAAAGCACGCACGGCCACGACCGAGGCTCCCGCTGAGCTTGCCCGACACCCCCGCCATGGCCGATTTCAATCTCGCCACGTTGACGCAGGAGCAACTCGATCGTCTCGTGCGTCAATTGGAGGATTCGGCGCTCGAAATCGCGACTCTCACGGCGGAACGTGACTCCGCCCGTCAACAGTCAACGGTGAACGTACCGACGACATCACACGCACCAACCAATGCATCTGCACATTCGGAGGAGCCCATCGTCATCTCATCCGGCACACCAACGCAACACAACAGCACGGGACAGCACTCAGGCGCAGCCAGTGACAGCGCAGCCCAACCGATGCCCGGCATGGGAGGGAACAGGAGCGCATTAAGCCCACGGGAGCCCCGAGAAGCCCGTCGGCACGTGGAGTTTGCGGCGACAAGTGGCGAGAACGCCACGGTGGCCCCAATGCCACTCAAGCCGCAACGCCCGCCCTGCTTCGACCCAAGCCAACGCGGCGGCCCGACAGTTCAATCGTGGGTCTTCACGATGAATGTGTTTTTCGACGCCAACTACGTCGAGTCGGACGCCGCCAAGATCCGGTATGCGGTTTCACTACTCAGGGGCCCCGCCATGGACTGGTGGCGAGTCATTGTGACGTCGCCGCGCGCCTACGAGCCACCGTCGCACAAGGAAGGGCCCTCGGGTCCAGCTGTTACCTGGAGTTCGTTCTGCGAAACCGCCCAATACAGCACGTGGGATGCGTGGTGCGCAGGGCTTCGGGCGCGCTTTGAGCCTATCGCGGCCTCGATTTCGGCGCGTCAGAAACTGCGCACTTGGCGCCAGCTCGGGTCAGTTCAAGACTACACCAGCGGGTTTCTCGCACTTTGCGAACAGGCCGGCTACATGCACGAGGCGGAGCGGGTGGACCGTTACGTCGGAGGGCTGAAGCCGGACATCTCGCACGAGATAATGCTACGCGGGCTCTCGGATTTCAACGAGATCCTCGCGCTCGCCGAGAAAATCGATATCCTACGCCGACCGAGACCGGGGTCCTATTACGGACATCGTCCTCGGGGACCGACCGAGCACGCCACTGTACATGCCGTCGCAGCGAATGCAGCTGCCGCGCCGTTTAGAGGGCGCTGCTTTGCTTGCAACCGGCCGGGCCATCGCAAGAGCGAATGTCCAGAGGAGCTGAGGCGTCGAGGAGCAGAGCAGGGGAGGGAGTCTCGGAGGCAGGGAAACGCCAGCAGTCAGTAGAAGTTGGGCCAACTACTGACGAGACTGCCTGCTCGCCCAACCACACCGACCCTCACCGAGTCACAGTACCGATTCACGCCATCGATCGGGCTCGGATGAATAAGGAGGGTACAGCGACGGATTGCCCGGTACTGATCTACGGGAAAATACAGGGAGCAGCAGTGAAGATCTTCATTGACGGAGGAGCAAGCCACAGCTTAGTTAATACCGCAACCGCACGAAAATTACAGTTAACGCTTAACCGATGTTTACCTGAGATAGATGCACGCTTAGTCGACGGCACGCCCCTGGCCATACGGGAAAAGGTGGAGCGCGTAAAAGTCCGCTGCGGGGGGAACTTCGGGTTTACACGGGAAATGCTCGCGACGACACTGGATGGGCACGACATTTTATTAGGACGTGATTGGCTGCGACGGTACAACCCACGGATCGACTGGACGACGGGGAGCTGCACAGTGCGAAGTAGTGGTAACTGGGTCGTTCTACCTCGCTGGCAGCCACCCAAATCTTCGACGTTCCAGGTCAACGCCATCACGATGAAACGGGCTGTCGCTGCTGGAGCTGACGTGTACGCAGTGGATATCGCACTCGTAGAAAAAGATGAGCAGCCGAGTGATTTGGAGAAACTACTGGCAACTGTACCGACCGAACTACAGGCACTACTGAAACAGTTCCCGGGGATATTTCCGGATGATTTACCACAGGGACTGCCACCTCAACGGGCGCACGACCATAGGATCGAGTTAGAACCGGGGGCACAGCCAACTGTACAGCGGCAATTTCGACTGACACAGCCCGAGCTCGACGAGTTAAGGAAGCAGTTAGATTACCTGTTAGAGAAGCAGTTTATCCGGCCGAGCTCGTCACCGTTCGCCGCACCGATACTGTTTACACCGAAAAAAGACGGAGGGTTCCGCATGTGCATCGACTACCGAGCGCTTAACAGGGTAACAGTCAAATCGCGATACCCCATCCCCCGCGTCGACGAACTAATCGACCAACTGCGAACAGCACGAGTCTTTTCGAAAATAGATTTACGGGGAGGTTACCATCAGATTCGGGTCGAACCATCGGACTGCGCCAAAACAGCATTTAGGACTAGGTACGGGTCATTCGAGTATACAGTAATGCCATTCGGGCTGACGAACGCGCATGCGACATTTCAGATGACCATGAACGAGGCGTTTAGACCACTTTTAGATAAATGCGTGATAATTTACCTGGACGATATTCTAGTTTACAGCCGGGATAAGCAGCAGCACTTAGTGGATCTTGAAGCAGTTTTTAAGGTTTTGGAGGAACATCGGCTACTCACCAAGGGCTCCAAGTGCGAGTTTTTTCGGGACACGCTAGAGTTTTTGGGTCACGTCATTTCGGAGGCTGGGGTTGAGATTGACCCGAAGAAGCTGGATACGGTAAAAGCGTGGCGCCCCCCGACGAACATCACGGAACTGCAGAGTTTTTTAGGTTTTGTTAATTACGTTCGGCGGTTCGTGCCCGACATGGCACGTTTAACAGCCCCACTCACTGATTTACTGCGTAAGGGGGTCGCTTTTACGTGGGGGGAGAAAGAGCATGCTGCCTGTCAGATTATTATAGCTGATGCATGTTTGTAGGCTATAGTGGGGTAGCACATATGGGGTACAGTTTGCTAGGGTTGTATTTGTACCCAACTCTGACTTAGTCAATTCATTCCTGTTCATTCCTTTCACATGGTATAGAGCGGGTTCCCTGTGGGAACTTCGCCTAGGGCCCACCGAAGCGCGCCCCGAGGCGCACGATTCTTTTTTTTAGCGACCCCCCCGAGTCGCCCTTCCCCTGCGGCCCCGCCGCCCTTCGTTCGCGGCCCCGCCGTCCAGTCGCGGCCCCGCCCTTACGTCGCGGCCCCGCCCTTACGTCGCGGCCCCGCCACTAAGTCGCGGCCCTGCCACTAAGACGCGGCCCCGCCACCCAGTCGCGGCCCCGCCGCCTACTCGGACGCGGCCCCGCCGCCTGCTAAGACGCGGCCCCGCCGCCTGCTAAGACGCGGCCCCGCCGCCTGCTAAGACCGGCCCCGCCGCCTGCTCAGCCGCGGCCCCGCCGCCCTCTACGACGCGGCCTCCGCCGCCTGCAGACGCCGCGGCCTCCGCCGCCTGCTCAGCCGCGACCCCGCCGCCCTCTACGACGCGGCCTCCGCCGCCTGCTCAGCCGCGGCCCCGCCGCCCTCTACGACGCGGCCCCTGCCGCCTGCTCAGCCGCGGCCCTGCCGCCTCCTACGACGCGGCCCCGCAGCCTGCTCAGCCGCGGGTGCTTCCAGCGGCCCTCCGCTGCATCCTGACGGCCCGCCGCTGCACCCTGCGGCCCCGCCACTGCGCCTGTCCCGGCTCCGCCACTGCACCCTGACGGCCCCGCCGTCCCCTGTCTCGGCCCCACCGCTGCACCCTGACGGCCCCGCCGTCCCTTGTCCCGGCCCCGCCACTACACTGCAGCCGAGCCGCCCAGCAGCAGCCGAGCCGCCCAACAGCAGCCGAGCCGCCCAGCAGCAGCCGAGCCGCCCAGCAGCAGCCGAGCCGCCCAGCAGCAGCCGAGCCGCCCAGCAGCAGCCGAACCGCCCAGCAGCAGCCGAGCCGCCCAGCAGCAGCCGAGCCGCCCGGTACCTGAGCCGCCCGAGCCGCCCGAGCCGCCCGAGCCG